GAATGGGTGTTTTTTTTTTTTTTTTTTTAAGGAATGCCCCACAACTGTTTCATGGCAAAACTAGAGTCTACAATGGTATCCCTCATGCTGTTAGCATTGTAAACAAACACAGTAAGGGCAAGATTTCTGCCAAGAGGACTAGAGTGCATATTGAGAATATTAACCACTCTAAGAGCTAACTTCCTAAAATCTGTGAAGGAAAATTATCAGGGGTGGGGGAGGAAGCCAGAGAAATGGATCCTTGCTTCACACAGAGAAGCACACTTCATGAGAACCAATGGAAAGGAGCCCAAACTGATGGAACCTATTCCCTCTGAGTTCATGACATCATAAGTATAAAAATAAATAAATAGCCTCTGGATTAGGGAGGAAAAATAAAGGCCACCCATGACTACTGTCTGTAGACAGGGTAGCCCTAGATCTGCAATGCTCAAATTGTACCTAATGTTGGGATCATCTTCAGGACTTGTTGAAACAGACTGCTGAGTCCTTCCTCAGAGCCTCTCTCTGTCTAGGAGGTCTGGGCTGGCACTGAGAGTTTACATTTCTAACAAGCTCCCAAGCGATCATGGCACTACTGCTGGTCTTGGGACACTTGGAGAACCATTCATCTAGACACTCTTCTGACACCAAAGAGCAGTGGGACATTGGACAAATCACTTTATGTTTCAGGTGCTGGTTTTCTTATCTTGAAACAAAATGGCTTCAGAGTCATAGATATGGATTCAAATCTCTTCTCCACCATTAATTGTTTGTCCTTGAATAACTGTTTAACCTCTCTCTCTGTTCTAGCTGCAAATTGGAAATAACAGTACATACCAAATAGGCTAAATGCAAACATTAAATGTGATTACATGCCATTTAATGTGTTTGTGAAGGTCATTTCCTGCCTCAAAAGTGTATTGAATGAGATTGTAAATGTGAACATATGGGCTAGGGATATAGCTCAGTTGATAGAATACTTGCCTCACATGCACAAGGCCCTCGGTTCAAACCCCAGCATCCCACCCCAAAAGAGTGAACATGTAACTTGCAATACATCTAGAAATAGATATTTTTACAACAAATTCTATCAAGTTTCCCCAGTGCCAGCAAATTGGTTATTGTTGTGATGACAAATTACCCCAAAATTGAGTGACTTAAAACAAATATTTATTATCTCAGTGTCTGTGGGTCAGAAATGTGGTCAGAATGTGCACAGAATCTGTGACTCAGTTTCCCCCATCATAGTGAAAGTCCTGGATCTGCAGCTCATCAGAAGGGGCAGGAGGCCCATTGCTTTTCCCTTTTTCTTTTTTTTTCTAAAATTTTTTACTTGTTCTTTTTAGTTATACGACAGTAGAATATATTCTGACATATTATACATACATAGAGTATAGCTTCCCATTCTTACAGTTGAACATGATGTGGAGTTACAATGATCATGTATTCATATATGAACATAGGAAAATTATATTTGATTCATTCTACTGTCTCCCTTTTTCTTTTGTTTTTTTAATTTGGGTAATATGTACATGAAATTACCACATTGGCTATTTTTGAGTGTACAGTTAAATGACATTAAGTACATGCACATTGTTGTAAAACCACACCCATCTCAGAATGTTTTCATCTTCCCCACTCGAAACTCCAACCTCATTAAACACTAACTCCCCATATCTCCCTTCCCATCCCCTAGAAACTGCCACAATCCTCTCTGTCTCTTCTAATTTTGCTACCCTAGGTACTTCATATAAGTAGAATCACAATATTTGTCCTTTTGTGATGGACTTTTTCATATAGCATAATGGCCACAAAGTTTTCCATGTTGTACCCAGATCAAAATTCCCTTTCCCCCCACCCCACAGTACTGGGGATTGAACCCAGGGGTAACTTAACCACTGAGCCACTTCCTCAGCCCTTTTTATTATTTTTTTGAGACAGGTCTCTCTAAGTTGCTCCACTGGCCTCAAACTCACCTTCCTCCTGTTTCAGCCTCCTGAGTACTTATGACTACAGACATATGCATGGTGCCCAGGTAGAATGCCTTCCTTTTTAATGATCTTGTATGTACATACCACATTTTATTTATCTGTTCACCAGTTAATGAACCTTTGACTATTGCAAATAATGGTGTTATGAACATGTGTGTACATATATGTTTGAGTCCCTGCTTTCAATTCCTTTTGTGGGTAGAGATCCATTTCTAAGYTCACTCACGTAATTGTTGGAAAGTGTCAATTCCTCTTGAGCTGTTGAACCAAGGGCTTCAGTCCCTTGCCACAGCATATGCCCCCCCCCCCCAGAGATTGCTTACAAAATGGCAATTTGCATCCAGTAATGCCAGGAATGACAAAAAGTGAAAACAAGAATAAAGCCACTATCTTTGTATAACCTAGTTGCAGAAGTGACACACCATCACTTCTGCTATTTTCTCCATGAGAAGCAAATCTAGCACATCCTCCAGATTACACAGAGGATGAATAGCAGGAGGAGCCCAATGGGAGACATTCTAGAGATTGCCAGGATCCTGACTGTAATAGTTAGGTGGGTCTGTGGCATAGGGTTTATATAAAAGGATATCTAGAAAGGCCCTTGAATTTTGGATTCAAAGTAATATGTATGMCAAAATTCTGAAACTAACTGCACCAAAAACCCAGAATGAGAATATAATCTACCATACATTTTAATAGGTATAATTCTGCACAGGTAATGCCACTATTCAGTGGGACTGCCAGTTTTTTTAAGGGCTGATGTAGCTACAAGCTGACAACACACACACACCTGTCAGTCCAACAAGGCCCTACAGCCTCCTCCAGTTTGTATTGGCTGGCCATTTGAGCCTCAGTACCACCTGTTCTGGCTGTCATTTCCCAAATTGAGCTCTGGGTTCTACACCCCTATCTCTATCCATATGAGCCCTTGCCCCTCCTGATTGGGGCCTACCTTTACCCCACAGCTGGCCCCACTGGATGTTCTATTTATGAGACTAACTAGCCCAGCTGTTTCCCATATTCAGGGATTGCTACAATCTGGTCCAGACTGTTTCTCTTCATCCAGGCCCTACTGCTTTCCTATGTCTCAGATGGGGATATCACTTTCTTTGAGATAAGATCACTTCCCAGATGTGGTTCCAGCAGATAATGGAATATTTTGGACCAAAATATGGACCCCATATACTTTTTATGTCACATCACTGATATCTCCCCTCCCACACTCCACTTTTCACTATTTGATGCTAATATTGAATAAACTAGCATTTTGAAAAATCACAAATCAGTTCTCTTTTTTTTATATTTATTTTTTCGTTTTCGGTGGATACAACATCTTTATTTTTATATGGTGCTGAGGATCAAACCCAGCACCCCTTGCATGCCATGTGAGCGTGCTACCGCTTGAGCAACATCCCCAGCCCAAAAGACTTGTAATTACTTTTTTTTTTTTTTTTTTTTTGCCATGCTGGGGATTGAACCCAGGACCTTGTGCATGCAAGGCAAGCACTTTACAACTGAGCTACATCCCCAGMAAAAGGGACTCTTTTTTTGGGCAGTGCTGGGGATTGAACCCAGAGGCTTATGCATGCAAGGCAAGCACTGTACCAACTGAGCTACATCCCCAGCCCAGCCCTCTCTCTTTTAATTATATTCTCCATTGTGCAGATGATTAAGACTCACAGAGATTTAGATTTTTTTTTTTTTTGGTACTGGGGATTAAACTCAGGGGCACTCTGTCACTGAGCCACATCCCCAGCCCTATTTTGTATTTTATTTAAAGACAGGGTCTCAGTGAGTTGCTTAGTGCCTTGCCATTGCTGAGGCTGGCTTTGAACTCAAGATCCTCCTGCCTCAGCCACCTGAGCCACTGGRATTACAAGCATGTGCCATGGCACCCGGCTAAGACTCACATTTAGAGAATCACCCAAGTTACACAGCTAGAAGAAGACTGTGTCAGAAAAACTTTATATACTTACTATTGATATCATGAATGGTGTGTGTGTGTGTGTGTTTCCAATTTGAAATCCTAATGGGATAATCACAAATTTGAATGGAGGCTTCTTTCCCGTTCTACCCAATACCACCCATGTCCCAAAGGATGGAGCCACAGTCCACTCCCTAGCTTAGTCTAAGCACAGGAGATGAAATGTGTATGATGATTCTACAGTCTGTGACACCATCTTACCCCACTTCCTGTGTTCCCATAAATACAACAAAAGAACTCAGACCCAAGGAAAGCTAGAAAGATTGCCAATCTCTTTGTTTGGATTTGGGGCATTAAAAAGTAGGGCTGGGGTCGTGGCTCAGTGGTAAAGCACTTGCCTAGCATGTGTGAGCACTGGGTTCCATTCTTGGCATCGCATATAAATAAATGAATAAAATAAAGGTCCATCAACAATTTTAAAAAATGGGGGGGGGAAAGCAAGGTAGTCAGAAGCTGACTGTAAAGTTAACAGAGAAGGAGCTGGAGTTGGTGGCCTGGCAAGTCAGTCACGGGGACATTAGCAGGTGTCTTTTGATAGTGTGGTACACTGGTTAAAAGTGCAGGCTGTGGAAGTAGGTGCCTGGTTTGACTTGTGGCTCCCACTTATTAGCTCTAGGATTAGGGGCAAACTGTTTAGTTAGGTAACTCAGTTTTCCTGTCAGTAAAACAGGTAAATGACCAGTATGAAACCCAACTAGTTGTTAAAATGAAATGAACTAGTACACATGGGACGCTGCACAAGCACAAGGCGTATGCGCAGCATCTGGGGTGTGAATGAGTCAGGGAGATTCCAGAGGCCAGAAGGCAGCAGAGAAGGCCCTGTGTCCTGGGACCCACAGGTGGAGCAGGTCCAGTTCCCATAGGGCCTGCCAGGGCTTCAGCACTTTAACCATCAAAGGTTTTCCAAAGAAAGCACAGAGGGATGTTTCCTAAAACATTTTACCTAATTTTTTCACCTCAAACTAAAAGACTTTTTTAAATTTAAAAATCATACACCACATTTATTTGGAAATTTTGTTCTTTTTATTGCAAATTTCGGGTAAAGGAAAGAACACGGAAGCTGATTCTCATTTAAACTTTGGTGAGAAAAGTACTCTGCTGTCACCGGTGGCTCATCATCCCTGACGCCACTGAATAACCAGGGGGTTTGATACACACTGATGCCTGCCTCGCGCCTCCCAGAGGTGCTGACTTTACTTGGTCTGGGGCACAGCTCAGCATCAGTAGCTTTTTAAACTCCCTCAAGTGAGTCCAACAAGCAGCCAAGGTGGAGGGTCCCTGTGATACTTCATCTTTTGGGCTGGCAACATCGGAAGCACCTGAGAAAATTCAGCTGACAGCTAGAAATCACCTGCTTACATCAGCCCCTCAACCAGTGTCGAACTGGGTGTCCCCCGCCCCCGCCCTTCCCAGGTGTYGGATGTGCCTACCCTCTCTCTTGAGAGACCCTAGGGGGGGATGCTGGAGAGGGCGGTGGCTCACTGTCCTGTGGCTTGTGCTTAATCATGGAGAACTCCATGAAACATGGCTACGCTATTACAAAAAGAAAGTAATTTTCTGATTGCAAAAGAATATTGATTTTATTTTTAAGTGGAATTAGTCTTCCTATATAGATATGAAAAGACTTGTGGCAAAAAAGAAAAAAAAGAAAGAAAAAGGAAATATATTGTTGAATGACAGATTCCTTATATTTAATCTCTCATGTCCGAATTAAAAAAAAAAAATTTGTCAAGCCATTGAGAGTAGAATATCATGTACTTTAGCAGCATATTTTATATGGGTAAACAGTAATAGACAGTTTGATATTTCATTTGTGACTTATTCTAAAAATAGAAAATGTTTTTATTTTCCTGAGTCCTTGGTGAACGGAAAAAAAGGGGGGGATGGTGAAAAATCTTTTTAAGTATTCCTATTCTTTTTCCTAGGGTACCCTCACAGTTTAGAACGGTGTGTCTCGCTGTCAGTTTTTACATATACAGGTGAACAAACGGCACTCATTTGAATTTTCAACGATTAATCAAATATGGCAATTAAAAATAAAACGCCCATCATCTACAAAGTTGTTCAAGATGAAAGTTTCTTGACCATATTATAAATGCAATATCAATTTGATTATTTGTCCATACAAAAGTATGAATTTCTATTCCATTAATAATACTGAATGATTCATGTCTTAACAGTGATAAAATTTTTAGAACATTTAAAAAATACATAGGATCCCATTTTTACATCATAATTCTGATGTATTATCATGCCTTCTATTTTGTTGGCAAAACTTTTATAGGGTACAGTGCATTGACATGATAAAAACCAAGGCACAAGATTACAGTTACAATATGTATATATAAACCTTAGCACTTTGTGCCAATTTTGGAAACATTTAGAGAGACCATAAAGTCTGAAAAATTCTCATATCCTATTATGATTAATTAGCAATTAATTGTGCAATAAATAGACTGCTAACCACTATTCCATTATGATATGGCTATATAGCTATACAAGTTATGGATAATTCGAAAAGTTTTAAATATTAAAACCTGATATATCTAGGTGGATATAAATATTGTGCCTTRTATTATCTAGATAATTGTCTTATGTTTCCATTTAATTTGCAAATTGTATGGCAGTTATCAGTTCTTAACTATTTTCATTACATAAATAAAGAGTTAGGTATTTTCCAAATGTTAGATTTCTTCCCYCTACAAAAGACAAAAGAGATTTACAGGAAGATAACCAATATAAGAAATGTACAGACAACGTAATAAAATCCAAATATGGACTCAAAGGTTGATTTCTAATCTATTGGGACATTCTCTTACTTTAGGGTGAGGAGCAACACATTCTTGTGAGACTTCAGTTTCTTAATTTAAAAAAATCACCATGACATTTTTCAGAATAGTAAGTAGTGTTGGTAGAGCATCAAGCATTGGGGAAAATCTAAGTCTTTTCATTCATAAAATGGAGAAAAGCATTTCAAAACCTTGAGGGGTAGGTTTCCACTGAATTTAGAGAAGTGGTAAAAACTGTGTTTTTCATATTTTTAAAGAGTGTTTTCAAGACTCAAGGTAAACATTTAGACCCATGAAAACACGTTTCTTGGCACATGCACGCCATAGATAGAACAATCCAGAATGCAGCACTGGCCTGGCTACAGAGGTATCTAGCTCCCAGTCTCACTGGCAAGACCTACTTTCAGGTCCTTGTCCCAGCTCCCTTCACACAGGAGCTTCTGCCTTCTGCATTTGTTGGATCTGCTTCTGCAGCTGGTCCTTGTCCAGCTTCATCTTGGCCTCGAGAACTTGCCTGAGGGATCCTATGCTTTCATAGATGGCCGTAAACCCTTTAAGAAGAGGTAAATTTCAAAAGTTAACATTTTAAAAAATGATACTGTATCAGATTCTATAGTATATGCAATAGTTACTTCTGACAAACATAAATATATGATTAAACTCTGGGGGTAAAAGTTGGATGGGGAACATGAGTTACATAGTTACCTAGTATCACCCTAGATATTACTCCTTAATTACAAAGGGGGAAAAGGACCAATTACAATGGACCAATCTGGCAGATAACACTTTAACCAAGTGATACAGTAACACTGGGAGAAACCAATATCACGTACCTCTGATAAGATGCCCCTGCAGAACACAACATTCCCTCCTGGGGCATTTCTGTCCCAAATCATATCACAAGGAAGCAAAAAACAAGTAAAGGACTTTCTACAAAACACTGGCCTACATTCTTTTGAAATCTCAAGATTGCTGAGGAACTGCTCTAGCTTAAAAAGACTAAGAAACATGGTAACTACATATGATATATATAATTCTGGATCAGAACCCAAATGGTATATGAAAAGGTGCTCAACATCACTAATCATCAGGGAAATACAATCAAAACCACAATGAAATATCACCCCTTACWTGTTAGGATGGCTACTATAAAAAAAAGACAAGAGATGGCCAGTTGAAGAAAAGAGAACCCTGTATACTGTTGGTGGGAGTATAAAATGGTGCAGCCCTAGTGGAAAAGAACTTAGAGGAGCCTGGAGAAATTAAAAAATAGATTTACCAGATGACCCAGCAACCCACTACTGGGTATCTAACCCAAAGAAAGGAAATCATCATCTCATAGACATCTGCACTCCCACGATCATTGCAGCATTATTCTCAATAGACAACATACGGAAACAACCAAAGTGTCTGTCAGACTGTAGGACACAATAAGTGAAATAAGCCAGACATAGAAAGAAAAATACTGCATGATTTCCTATGTRGGATCAAAAAGAAAAGAAAGTCAAATACACAAAGAATAAAATGGTAGTTAGTAGGGGATGGGGTCAACAAATAGGGAGGATAAGGAGATGCAGGTCAAAAGATACAGACTTCAAATATGTAGGATAACAAGTCTAGAGATCTAATATACAATATAGAAGGAACATAATAATATTGTATAGACTTCAGGATTTTTGCCAAAGGTGTGGATTTTAGGTGCCCTTCTCACACACACATACACACACACACACACACACACACACACACATACACACATACCTATGGGAGATGATGGTTTGAATATGGAAACCATCATTAAATTTGCTTGAATATAAAAAACGATTTCACTATGTATGTGTGCATTAAAACATCATACATACCTTAAATATGTATAGCTAATTTTTTTATTTAAAGAAACATTTGAGGAGCCCAGGTTGTGTCTCAGTAGTAGAGTGCTTGCCTAGCATGCATGAGACACTGGGTTTGATCCCCAACACCACATAAAAATAAAAGTGAATAAAATAAAAGTATTGTGTCCATCTACAACTAAATATATATTTATCTATTTAGTTGTAGATGGACACAATACTTTTATTTTATATATATAATATATATAAAATAATATATATATAATAAAAGTATTGTGTCCATCTGTGTGTATATATATATATATATATATATATATATATATATATGAAACATTTGATTAGAAAAATAAAATCAAAGAAAGAACCCAACTGGTGAAGGTTTGTTGTAAAGGAAACAATGGTGAAATTTGAATATTGAAAACACCTCAACAATATTGTGTGGTACTATAGTCATGTAGGAGAATGTCCTTGTTTTTAGGACATATATATTGAAACAATAAAGGGATAAAAAAGAAATAGCATGACTACTGCAATGCCCAGATGATTCAGAGAAGAAAGTTATAGTCATACACAGAGATATTAAGTATATTTCCAAAATGTCAACAATTGTTAAGTGTAGGACTTACAGAATTTTGGGATTACTCTTATAGTTTTCCTAAATTTGAAATTATCTCTTTTTGAAATGAAAAACTTTTTAAAGAAAAAAAGTCACCATTGGAAGCATTTCAAGCCAGGTACAGTGATACACACCTATAAACCCAGCTACTCAGGAAACTAAGGCAGGAAGATTACAAGTTCAAGATCAGCCTCAACAGTTTAGGGAGAGTCTGTTCCAAAATAAAAAATTAAAAGGGGCTGTGGCTGTAGTCAGTGGTAAAGTGCTCCTGTGTTCAATTCTTGCACCACAAAAAAATCCTATTATTCTATATTCCTATTGGTTTTTACATTTTTAAAATTTAAGTTTTAACTTCATTAGTAAATTTAAAATTTTCTCCCAAAATTTTTATGTAAAAATTCATTAAAATTATCATTAAAAATATTTTTGACATGAAAAAACAGAACATATTACTAACTAAATAAAATAGCAAGTTATAAACCAGCATGTGTAGTATGTGCTTTAATTTGGAAAAGAGCACATAAATGTCCTACATGTATAGAAATATATACATAAGAAATAACCTCTGGGTGAGAAAAGGTCTGAGTATTTTAAAAATATCTTGTGCTTTATAATTTTCCATTAAGAAATGTATTATATGGAGCTGGGATTGTGACTCAGTGGTTGAGTGCTTGCCTACCATGTGTGAGGCACTGGATTCAATCCTCAGCACCACATAAATGTAAGATAAAGATATTGTGTCCACCTAAAACTAAAAAATAATTATTTGAAAAAAAAGAATCCTTGTTATTACATTAAAAAAGAAATATAATTAAAATTAAAAATATTTTTTTAATTTAAAAAAACTCACATATGTTTCTTATTAGGAACCAAATATCAACAACCTCAATGGTAGGGTAAGTAGATGGCAATAAATTCATTCTGGAAATGATACAAAGTTAAACATTCAGTTTAACTGAATGAAACATTCAGTTGCCATGTTCTAATAGCCCAAAAGCCTAACAATAAAATTAATTWTTATCTGCATAAATTCTCCCATTCATAAGTTTAGTTGTATTTTCTACTTAAATAAAATAATAAACTTTTGGTGGAAACAAAATCATTTTTGAAATAACTATTTTTATTTTCCATGTGGCCAAAATAGAACAATTCCAGAAAAGAAAATACAGAGTCACAGAACTAGAAGGAGCTAGGAGATAAATTAGTCCCACTCTTACACAGGACTTGTCCTAACCAGGGTCCACCAGCCTCTGCTTGACAATTTCAACAACAAAATGCTCTCAAACTCATAAAGCCACCAGTGTCTTTAGGACCCTGAATTCCAAAACAGTGTTGCCTCATATTGAGTTAAAAATCTGTCCTTGGGTCACTTCTACTTATTGGTCCCAGTTCTGTATTCCTGAGTTCAGAGTGTAAATCTAACCACTCTGCTGATTTGAATGTCCTCTCCAAAACTCATGTTGAAATTTAATTGCCATTGTGACAGTATTAAGAGGTGAGACCTTTAAGATGGATTGGATTAAGGCCATGATCATGGGAATGGGTTCCTGCTATAAGGGTGAATTCAGCCTCATTTTTCTCTCTGTCTTGTGTGTGTGCTTCCCCATCATGTGATGACCTCCACTAAGATATAGATACAGCAGAAAGGCCCTCGCCTCATGCTAGCACCATGCTCTTGGACTTCCTGGCCTCCAGAACTGTAAGAAATAAACCTCTGTTCTTTAGAAATTATGCAATCTCAGGTATTCTGTTGTGCCAGTGGAAAATGAACTGACACCTCCCTTTACATAGCAGCACTAGGACCTTGAAACCAGCTCTGAGAGTCACCTGTAAACAAGGTGTATTCATGGGCCTTGTTGACTTCTGAGTGGAGGGAAGTCATTACCGAGTTAGTATATGGTCAGCAGTATAAAATAAACCCTCACAAGCCTCTCAAAGATATATGCTTATTTCTGAGATATGTTGAACTTGATTAGAAACAGAAAAGAGTCAGCAGATGGCATTGAAGAAAACATCTCAGCTGCAAGCTAAGCATGTACAGTTTTGTTTGCCTGTGCCTCAGGGTGGCTCTTCATATTTGGAGTTTGAATAGCACTTTAGTTCAATACAGTACAGCTACTCAGAAAAGCAACCAAGAACATCTCACCRTTATTACATTTAGCAAGGTTCATAAGTAGTTGTAAGGAATTACTAATTAAAAGATTTTCAGATAAAATGGAAAATAAGCTATGTGAGCTGTTTTGGTTTTGGCCTACCAGCATTAACTTCTGCTTTCATTTCCTTCATGTCCTCATTCATCTGCAACTCCAGCTTGCTGATTCGCCCGTGCACCTTCTCTTCTTCTTGCTTTGTTCTCTGCCCTTCCATGTTCTTCTTTTGACTCTCTTCTATTTTGTCAAGTCTGGCTGACATCTGGCTGAGCTTCTTTTCCATGTCCCTTTCATTGGCTCCCTGAGATCCATGATAAGAATTGTACTTTATTACTCCAAAAAGAAAGTCTGCATTGCATTCATGTCAGTCATAATAATCTGCTGGGACAGAACTGCAGAGGCTACTTGCTGCCTATTCCAATATCCATTCTCAACTGTTTCTTCTTTAACAGACCCCCAATTTTTAGTTCAGTACCAGGTCATCCAGAACACAAACTACATCTTCCTCTGTCTCCTGACTTTGTGATTAAGTCTCAGCTAATGCAGCGTAACTACAAGTATGTGATAGTTTCCAGACAAGGTTACAAGGCAGCTGATACTTATCCTTATTTCTTCCTTTCCCCTCTGTTTCTATAATTCAGACAATTCCTGGAGCTCTAACAGATCTCTTGAATTATAAAAATGAGGATCATTTTCTGGGATTGGCAGAAAGTTAATATAAAAGGATCCTGAGTATCAATAAGTAACAGGCCATAACATCAGTATGGTCTAGCCTACATCCATATGTCTTTTTTGTAAAACAGAAATAAGCCTCTATCTTATTAGAGTCATCATTATTCCAGAGTTTACTGTTAGTTATTAAATCAATCCACATGTAAAAWTAATAATAAAAGTAATCCAAAGACYCAGAAACCTACAAATGTATTAGCATGGATCTAAGTAAAACATTCAGTAGACCTGATGAAAATAGAAGAAAATACTAAAAGAATATATTTGAAATATTAAATATTTTTTTTTCCTTTCCTTTTCACCATGCTTGGATTTGGTAGGAATCTTTGTCTGCTGGTGAGCTTTGGAGGCCCAGACTACAAAGACCAAGCTGTAAGTTGCTACAGCATGATAAAGCTTTCTGATGTTACTCAGTGCAAAAGTCTGTAATTCAGCAGCTGTTCAACTGGARAGAGCACAGTCAGAGATGTAAACTGTGCTCACTGTTTCTGGCCAGTTAAAGCCCAACAGGAGGAGGAAGTGCAAGAAAAGAGAAGGGAAAAGGAAATGGTGATGCTAACTAAAACCAACAAAAATTTGTTTGTCAAGAACTGGTTTCAGAGTCTACTGGTTTTGAACACCATGTACACAACACTTTCTTGATATGGTTTTGGAGCAGTTCTGCAAACCTCAGCTCTGTGAGAGACTGGGGCAGAAGGAGGAGATAGCAAAGACAATGATGGATACAGTTACATGTTGCACTGGGATGCCTCACACTGTGGTTGCTGTGTTTTGAGGGGTCTGCAGAGAGAAATCTATTGGACATTGGTAAAAAGTTATGAAAAACCAAAAACCAAGTTATGAAATTAAAATCAATAAAGATCAAGCTGGGAATTGTTAGTTTTATTCAGAAAGACAGACAGGCAAACTAAATCATTAAGATCATGACTTAAATTTATCTTAACTGGAAATACTGAAATTTTCTTTCCAGCTTGTGTTATCCAAAACAAGTCAAAATGCTCCACCACCTCTTTACAAAGGATACAAAAACAGGAGCTACATGCACAGCTTACTGGTAGAACATGGGCCAAGTATCTGAGAGACCCTGGGTTTKATCCCCAGAACCAAAAAAGAAGAAAGAATATGTACCACCAGAATGTGATCAAAGGCAAGAAACAACAGAACAGCTTTAAGTGGTACCAAATTCATCAGTAATAAGTCAGTAGACATTATATTAGTCAAACATTGTAGCCCCCACCCTCTCTGAATAACTGCTAAATTATTGCTAACCATTAATACCTACACTGTTTTCCTTAACAACCAAGGAAAGCTGATCAATTTTCTGTAAAAGTTCTTTTTCTATTCGTTCTTGCTCCTGTTGTAACCAACTCCGTGCAGATAAAATCTGGTTACTGAGTTCTTCAACTGTACCTTTAAATCTAAAAAAAAAAAATGTATATAAAACAATTTTTAAATGATATTAAGCAACCTCTGACTATCAGATTTCTGATAAATTGCCAGCATTAAACTCAGCTTGACCAAATTACATGCTCCCCTTTTCTTAGGATTACACTCAGCACCATGTTAGGAAAGCAGGGAGGGCAGGAAGATACAATAGAAAAGCATCTGCTGCTGCTGCTACCTGTAAGGAGCTGGCAGTGTGGGCACTGAGGTGACATGGTTTCCCCAAGCTGTGCCAGGTGCTAAGTTTTGCAGTTCCCAGGGTTTGTGGTGCTCTTGGAGAACAGAGCGTCCCTGATCTACCCTTCCAGGCTCCCTGCTTTTCTGGGCTCTTCGTGTTCCTTTTGTMTCCCAGGACTGGAACCTGGCTCCCTTTCTCTATATTGTTCCCCAAATTACTCTTGCCCCATATGGACACATCCTAATTTAAATCAGAAGTAAAATTAAAAGGGGGGAAAAAATCCTCCCAACCTTCCACTCYTTTAGTCTTCTCCCTTTCCAAATTCCTAAAAGTAACTGTTAAACATGCTACCTCCCTTAGTTACTTTTTATTGTGATATGAAATAAAAGTACAGACTAATACATGTGATGTAGATTTGTGATTTAAATAATAACAACACCCACTGGGGCATAGTTTCTAAGTGTCCTGTAATTTCTGTTCTCTTATTTCCTTTAAGAAGACTTCATCCAGGGTATAAGGCTGTCTAGCCACAGACCACCAGGACACAGAAGCCCCAAGTATGCTCTGTAATTGTCCTACTCACCAAGAAATAAGCATTATATGGAATTTTACTGTTCTTTATAAGAGCCTTCTCCTTTATGGACTTTATTMATTACATCAGGCTTCCCTGGATAACCCAAGATGACCTATCCACCTCAATTAAGATCCTTAACTTAATCACATCTGCAAAGACCCTTTTGCCACATAAGRTAACATTAAAAATTCTAGAACTAGGATATGGCGATATTTGGGAACCATTATTCAGCCTACCACAATCATGTAACTTTCCTTCAAAACACTTATTAATAATAATATAACATAGGTTTATTTAAGTTCCTTCTTGATTAAAAAGTCATCAGCTCCCTAGAATATAAACTCTACAAGGATAAGAAAAGAGTCCATTTTTCTGTTCATTACTGGATTCTTGGCCCCTTAGGCCAGTACTCCACAAATGCTAGCTGAATAAATATATCAGTTATTATCCAACAACTAAGGACAATAATTACGAAGGAAAACTGAACACATACTACATGTAAACTTTCCCTTTTAACTTCCATTACTGATTTCATTATGTGCAATAAGTAAAAATCAAGAGGAAAAAATTCTAGTAGCACCTAAATTCATTTTTTTTTTCTTTTTTTTTTTTTTGCACCTAAATTCAGAAAGAGTTTCAACCAAAACCTTTTTTGATAAATTCATGCTTACTTAGTATCTAAAAGCTGAAGCTGGTGGTTACTGTCTCTATGGGACATCTTCAATTTGGTGCTCTGCTCTGATATTGACAAGTCCACTCKGTTCAAAAGCTGAGAAATCTGGAAAAGAAGAGACTTGCTTATAATATCACACTTCATCAGATATAATTTCAGAAATCATCTCATCAGCTATAATCTAATCAGCATCATTTTCAGTCTAATAAATTCACTTAGGAGTTCATCTCATCTTTTCACCTCTATTTTCTTTCTTACACAGCCATCAGAAATCGAGACTAGTAGCATTAACAAAATACTCATCCCACACTTAGCATGAACCTTTTCCATTTTCTGATAAGCAAGCCCAGCTTCTGCCCATGATAAGCATTTCTACCAGCTGGCACAAAATACAGGCATCTTTACCTTGGAATTTTAAGTGGCTGTTAGGCACAGGAAATGGAATTCCTATTGCTTATAAAATCCATCAAGGACCCAGAGGGGACTATAGAGTCAAGTCACCAGCAAATATAATTTTAGACTATCTCCTTCTTGGTCATTTTTCTCACTACCTATCCATTTCCCTTATATTTTTACTGAAATGTAACCTAAAACTTGTCCTGTGTGAAGTGTTCACATTTTCCAGAAAGAAAAAAAGAGAAGAAGRAAATTGTGTTCAATTGTTCAACATTCTTTACTTAAAGATTCATGGTATCTATCAGATCTGGAACCAAATTTTTTTTTAAGTATGCCTTTATTTATTCATTTTAAAATTTTTATTTATTTACTTTTCAGTACTGGGGATTGAACCCAGGGCCTTGCACATGCTAGGCAAATGCTCTACCACTGAGCTACAGCCCCTGCCTTAGTATGCTTCTTTTGATGGGTTTCTGTAAGTGTTTTACTTGGCCTGGCTACCAGACAGCATAAGATTTATTTTGCATCTATTGTCTGACATAATAATTCCATCCTCAGTTATTCTTCAAAAAAAAAAAAGTGGACTTGTCTTTATTCTTTTTTTTTTTTCACAGTTTAATAATGTCTGTGTCGCTCACATCAGTACTTCAGATTCTTACTGGAGGTAGTTAGGAGATAAATATTTTTAATCCAATAAATTAACTAGATACCCCTATTTTTCTAGAACAGCCTCTCTATGAGTGAAGAATAATAAATAGGGCAGATACTATGGGAAAAGTTCTAGAAGACAGGTCCTATTATTATGACAAAACAGACAAAAAAAACTGAAATGCCAAGAGTTTTGCTTTGTGAAATTAATCTGTCAATTTCAAGCTAGAATAGCCTAACATTCTGAGCAAGTCTCTCTTCTAGCTTAGTTCTGATTGTGTCCTACATACAGACCATGTAATGAGGAAGCACATGTAATGAGTCCCAGTGCCACACCTGAATCAAAAACTGAGGTGAGTGGCATGTTAAAAAAAAAAAACCTCTGGATCACTTATCTGTGCAAGAGGTAGTTTTGGAGACAAAATTTGAAATTACTGGATTACATGAATTGTTTTAGGATTGAAGGGGACGAATCTTTGCAATTAGGAACATTGAAAAATCTTGGTGGTTTGCTTACCAGACTCATCAAGAGCCACTCCAGTGAAAAAGAGAAGAAAGTAGTAGAGAAAAGACATGCTTATTTGCATAAATCTAAGCTAGTTGCTCCTAAAAGAAATAATCAACACCATGTTATTCTTAGCTAAGAACAAATTACCTGCTTTTAAAAGCTACCCGAAACAGGTCATACCTGTCCTTCTGCATCTTTGATTTTCGTTTCCAAGATCAGTTTGGCAGCTTGCTGTTCTTTGTTTAAGTGCTGAAGCCCCTCATAGGTTGTTTTGTGCTCTGCAGAGAGTCTGGCTATGCTGGCATCACATCTGCCCAGGCAAACAACAAAGCTACTTCTTATTAAAATTTAAAAACATGTGCAAAAGCTTCCTTACATACTATAAAATGCAAAGCCCCACTCACAGAAACTGCACAGTCAATCATGTTTTTTAAGGGGTTCAAGTGGACTCAGAAAGCTGCCCTCAATTACGTATCATGACTGAGAGAATCATTCCAAGAATGCAAGTTTGATTCAACAACAGAAAAGCAGTTAATTAGATATACCATATCAACAGGGTAAAGGATCATCTCAATAGGTGAAGAAAAAACATTTGACAAAATTCAACACTCTTCATGATAAAAACAATCAACAAACTAGGAATAGAAAGGAATTCCTTCAATCTGATAAAAAGAATATACAGGGCTGGGGTTGTGGCTCAGTGGTAGAGGGTTTGCCTAGCATGCGTGATGCACTGGGTTCGATTCTCAGCACCACATTTAAATCAATAAAGTCTACTGACAACTGAAATAAAATTTTTTAAAAAAGAATATACAAAATATCCACACCTAGCCAGGTCCAGTGGTACATGCCTTTAATCCCATGATTTGGGAGGCTGAGGCAGGAATATTGGAAGTTCAAGGCCAGACTCAGTAACGTAGTGAGGCCCTAAGTGATAGTGAGACCCTGTCTCAAAAAGGGTTGGGAAATTAGCTCCATGGTAAAGTGCCCCTGGGTTCAATACATAGGACTAAAAAAACAAACAAACAACAACAACAACAAAAAGAAAACACCAAGCATCATCCTTAAYGGTGAGAGACTGGATGCTTTCCTCTAAGATCAGGAACAAGACAAGGATCTCTGCTCTCACCACTCCTATTCCACATCCTACTGGGGGTTCTAGTGACAAAATTAGGCAAGAAAATGAAATAAGTGTCACTCAGGTTGGAAAGTAGGAGGTTAAACTGTATATGCAGATGCCATGAAAATCCCAATAATTCCACCAAAAATTATTAAAAGTAATAAATGAGTTCAGCAAGATTGCAGGATAAAAGACCAAAATACAAAAAAATCAATATTTATTGATATATAATATTTCTATATAGTAGTGATGAAATTGAAATTAAGAAAACAAAAATAAAATGCTTAGGAATAAGTTTAAAGAAGTATAAAAGTTATACTCTGAAAGCCATATTTTTGAAAGATGTTAAAGATAAACTTAACAAATGGAGTGATACCCACATTAATAAATCTAAGACAATATTTATAGAATCATGATATTCTCCAAATTGATATACAGATTCAGCACAGGCCCTATCAAAATTCCAAGTTACCTTCTTTGCAGAAATTGATAAGCTGGTCCTAAATTTCATATGGAAATATAAGGGATTCTGAAGTGCTAAAAGCATCTTGAAAAAGAACAAAATTAGAGGACTCACATTCCTGGATTTCAAAACTTACCACAAAGCTGCAGTAATCAAGAAAGTGTGGTACTGGCATAAGAACAGACTAACAGATTAATGGAACAGAATTGAGAGTCTATAAATTATCCTACATATCTATGGCCAAATGGGATTACAAGCCAATGMAATTGGGGGGAAAAAAACAGACTTTTCAATAAATGATTCTGAAACAACTAAATATCCACAAGCAAAAGAAAGTATTTGGAATCTTATCCCACACCATATATAAAAAGTTAAGTCAAAATAGATCAAAGACTCAAATCTAAGAGGTGAATCTAGAAAAAAAATGTAATTACAAGTTTTCATGGCCTGGATTAGGCAATGGTTTCTAAAATATGAAACCAAAAATACAACCAAAGAAAAATAAATATATAAGTTGATATGATCAAGATTAATTTTTTGTGTGTGTTTCAAAGGACACAATCAAGAAAGTGATGTAATCCCAGCTACTCAGGCAGGAGGACTGAAAGTTCAAGGGCAGCCTCAGCAAAGCAAGACATTGTCTCAAAAATAAAAAAGGGCTGGGGATATAGCTCAGTGGTAGAACACACCTGGGTGGTTCAATCTCCAGTCCCCCCAAAAAAGAAAAAKAAAGTGAGAAGATGACTCGATGACTCTTAGGAAAAAAATGAAATCAGATATGATAAGGAAATTGTAGCTAGGATCTATAAACAACTCTTACAACTCAATAATAAAAAGACAATCCAACTCAAAAATGAGCATGCATACTGAAAAAAACATTTCTTCAAAGAAGATATACAAATGACCAATATACATATTAAATCAATCATGTTCAACATCATTGGTCATTAGGGGAATGCAAATCAAAACCACCATGAGATACTACTCTAAACCCAACAGAATGTCTATAATCAAAAAGACAGACAGGTGTTAGGATGTGGAAAATCTGAACCTTCATACACTGCTGGTGCCAGTGTAAAATGGTGTGGCCACTTTGGAAAATGGTTTAGCTGTTCTGTTCCTTGAAAAGTTGCATATAGTTACCATGGTACTCAACAATTCCTCTCTAGGTGCATATCCAAGAGAAAAGAAACATAATCTCACACAAAAAAAATTGTACACAAATGTTCACAGCAGCATTCTTTATAACAGCCAAAAAGTAGAAATAATCTAAACATCCAATTGATGAAAAGATAAGACATTCAGGCTGGGGATATGGCTCAGTGGTAGAACACTTGCCTGGCATGCATGAGGCCTGGGGTTTAATCCCTAACATGGCAAAAAAAAAAAAAAAAGGAATGAAGTGTCCATACATACTACAATATGGATGAACCCTGAAAATACATGCTCAGCCTAAGAAGGCAGTCTCACAGGACCACAAATGGTTCCATTCATGTGACATGTCCAGAAGAAACAGAAAATATTCAATGGTTGCCATGGACTAGGGGGTGGAACAGGAGGAATGGAGGAATAGGGATTGGAGGGTAAAGATGGGGAATGACAGCTAATGAGTGTGGGGTTTCTTCTTGAATGATACAAATATTATAAAATAAATTATGATAGTTACACAACTCTATAAATATACTAAAAACCATGCACCTGTAACCCTAGCTACTCAGGAGCATAAGGCAGGAGAATCACAAGTTTGTGGCCAGCCTAGGCAATGTAGCAAGACCTCCCGCCTTAAAAAACAAGAAAGAAAGAAAAAAAGAAATCTACTGAATCGTATATTTTAAATAGGTGATTTCTATGGTGTGTGAATTATATTTCACTAAAGCTCTTCATAAAGAGCAAGAGAGAAGAAAAAGAGAGAGAGAGAGAGAGGTCATCATGCATCTCTGCTGTGCCATTCCTGAGGGGCTGGCTCCTGGTATTATCCTACTCCAGTTCCCGCTAAGCACATAGGAAGAAACTCAGGCACCTGCCTCAGCATGCGGACATTTGTCCTGTAAAGCTCTCTGACCATGCCAACCAACCTCACAGAGGAAAGTGGAAGAAGCCACTGAATCTTGGRAAAGTAAAAACAATGTACCAGATGATGGTCCAAATGTTCTAGTAGGATTGGAAAGCTAAACTCCTGGAGCTCTGCTTTTAGGAGAAATGGGAAAATCTTGGACCAAGTCCCATTTAGGATATGTTATGCTCACTGGGATAAATGTGTCCCTCACCTCTAATGAGAATTTACCTGTGCTCTTCTGACTTTAATTTAACAGGGAAAAATCAGGGTCTGTTTGCTATTCATGATATCACCAATGTACCATAAAACTACAAAATTAAATACTAACACTGCAGTCTAGTCACTTAATATCACAGCCAGGTGTGGTGGTGCACACCTGTAATCCYAGCTACTCAAGAGGCTGAGGCAGGAGGATCATAAGCTCAAGGTTAGCCTGAGCAACTTAGCAAGACCCTGTTTCAAAATAAAATTTCAAAAGGGCTAGGGATGTAGCTCAGAGGTAGAGCATCCCTGAGTTCAATCCCCAGTATGAAAAAAAAGGAATATGACTTATAAATTTCATACCCCTTCAATACAATTACATAATAAATGAAAGAAAGTAAAAGCATTGCCAAAGAATTTTTATTTCTCATGAATTCATTTCAACAATCAAACTCGCATTAACATTCCAAGGGAAAGACAAATATAGCCACAAAACAAAGCAAAAATATCTGGTGCTCATAACAAATGTTTTTGACAATTTTAGAAGTATTTTTGTTACAGGGAAGGAACAAGTTGGGTAGAGAAATTGATAGGAAACTGAAGAAAATGTAAGATTTCTAAAAGTATCTCAAAATGATTTTTCTACTTGGTGTTAGATCTAGTATCGTGAGGATAATTTCAATTTTCACTACTGCCCCTGAGGTGACAGCTACCATTCATTGCAAGCTCACTCCATCCCATGTTGTGCCTGAGGCCTCTTACATATATTGCTTCACTTAATCTTCAAGAACCTGCAACTAGAGGGGCTAGGAAGACCCTCAAGGTTCTCCTGAAGTCCCTATTCTGCCCTGTTGCTCTAAGGTTCTTCCAACTCCTTGCCATTCTGAGAGGTAGCACAGAACTAGGGCTTCTTTTAAGCCACTCAGCAAGTAAGGATTCAAGGGTTTTTAGTCTATAAACAGTGATTTTTCTAGATCATTCACTCATCCAAACAAACATTTGTTGAGTACCTACTGCTTTCCAGAGACTGTCCCAGGAACTGGGCTACAGAAGTAAAAGACATGGAACCACACTCCAGGACGATGATTGCAGGAGTGAGCAGGAAACAGAGACTCAATGGAATGTGCATGCGAGGGGAGCCTGGTGGAGAAGCRGTGTCAGGAGAGATTCCCAGAGGAGTGCATCTGAGCAGAAGCTAAAGACCAACAAGAAGTCAGAAAAGGAAGAGGACAGGCAAGCTAGTACAAGGACAGCAAGGGCAAAGGGGCAGTAGGAGGGGCTCCAGGGTAGAGCTCGTGAAGAGGTCAGCAGGCTGTCCACCACCAAGGCCCATACTAAGGAAACAGGAGTTCATCCTGATGAGGATAGAAAGCCACAGGAAAGTGGTCAAGTAGTCCTTCATTCAATCCATGCGCCCTCTGCTACTAAACTGATATTTAGCAAACCCAAACACACATACCCAGCATTCAAAGCCCTAAGTGTGGTTTCTACACAAATGCACTCCAACACTACCCCTCACTATTCCCAAGAGGCCCTGGATCCTTGGGGTCTCTATTCTTTCTTCCACCCCCCACTTACAGATCACCCTCATTGTCATCACAGGCTGGCATTCACTCCAAAGCTCCTGTGTAGAAGCACATTCATGTGCTTGGCTCTTAATAGCAGCAGAGGGCAGAAGAGGAGCATAAATAATTTGGAAAACTTCATCCCAGCTAGATAAAAATAATCCTAGACACAGTCATGTGCAGTGCTTCTCAAACACTGGAATGCACGTGAATTCAAGGATCTTGTTAAAATGTAGATTCTAATTCAGTAGTTGTGGGGTGGACCCAAGATTGTACATTGCTAACAAGGTCCCAGGTAATGCTGGTGCTGCTGGTTCATGGAGCACACATCAAGCAGAGAGAGCAGCACTTTTCACATTATCTTAGATGGATCTCTTTTTAAAATTTCAAGTCTATCAAAACTCAATGCTTTCAGAAAACAAAAACAAATTATAAGAAAAATAAAAAAATTTAAAAGGCATACAAAATGTAAGTCCCAACATTGTATTAATTATGTTCATTTGGTTAAAATGAACATGTTACCTTACCAAATGCCACAGGTCAGTGGAGGGAGCTCTCTGCTCATTTCTTCCCATGAAGACCATGCTGATTTCAGAAACACAAGAAATCATGGCATGCTCACAACCAGGCTTGACTTGGATCACTAATTTTATGGGCAAAGCAWGGAGGGGATGTGAAAAGAAATGCAAGGAATTTGGGGCTTCACAAATATAATGCTCACTAAAACGGAGTTTATGAAACACAGCTTTTGACGAGCACAGACCCCAACATTTGAACACCTACCTTGCCACTCTTCCTCGGAGATCTCCCAAACCAGAGAGCTGACGCATCTCCAGGGTCTTTAAGGCAGAATTAGTTCCATAGCTAATGTTGTCCCTGGCACGGATCTGCTCCTGGAGTACCTGGAGTACACAGAGACCACTCAAGGTCATTTGCAAATTTATATGCAGCCACAAAAGTATTTTGTATTTTGGGGAAAAAAATAAAAATGTTTAACAACTTATTATTATTAATATATTTCACAAGAAGCTTCTTTTTAACAGTCACCTGACAGAAAGAAGTGGGTTAGGAGGAAATCAGGAGGCTTAGGAAGAAAGCAAGAGACCTTAGTGACCACTCTGGGTTAAGTCCCTTAATTCACCAATAAGAACTAAATTCCTTTATATTATTTTTTTAATAATGAAGGCATTTTAGGCATAATATTGCTGTGCCCAGAGGTCAAGTATGAAGTGGGTTTGTTTGTTTGTTTTGTGTGTGTGTGTGTTTGTTGTGGTAGTTGTTTTCTTTTTTATTGTTTGAATTTCAATTTTGGATTCCTCTTTGACATAAGAATATCTAGATATCTAAGGATTACTTAGAATTAGAATTGCAGTCAACATAATGAGGCCCTATCTCAAAAAAGAAAACAAATTAGAATTGACATCTTTTTCAAGCAGTTTTGTTTTGTGGTCATTTTTATCATTTAATTCTCATAATATTGGTTTATGATAAATATAGTATAATTTTGAAATATGTTAAGGCTTGCTTTGTAGCACAATTGATTTTTTTTAACGTTCYATAGACATGCAAGACTACATATTTACTCCTGGGCACGGTGGCCCATGCCTATAATCCCAGAGGCTTGGGAGGCTGAGGCAGGAGGATCATGAGTTCAAAGCCAGCCTCAGAAACTGCAAGGCACTAAGCAACTGAGATCCTGTCTCTAAATAAAATACAAAATAGGGCTGGGGATGTGGCTCAGTGGTTGAGTGCCTCTGAGTTCAATCCCTGGTATAAAAAAAAAAAAAAAAGTATATATTTACTACTTGAGGAATGTAAGGTTTGAATTTGTCTACTCTGAGTTTACTGATTTCATTATTCATTTCCCTTAGATCCTATTTACTTTTGTTTTTTTAATCTTATTTGTTTTTATCTCATTTTTTCATCTGTGAAAGAATAACTATGAATTCTCCCACTGTAAAATATATTCATCAAGTTCTCCATTTAGTTGCCATTTTATTTGGTACACATGGACTTAGATAAAAAGCATTTATTACCATCCTCTAATAACCTTCGTTAGTACCTTTAATATTAAGTTTCATCTTACCTGATATGATTATTGCTAGTATTTTTCAGAAACAATGAAGCAAACAGTAGCTTTGTGTTAACTGCTTGGTTTGATTGTATACCAGGCACTGTTCTAAGTACATCAGGCATGTTAACTGAATCCTCACAGAGTCCCAAGAAGAAGGTACTATCACTATCCCCATTTCACAGATGGGGAAATCTCTAGGCAACTTGCTTAAGTCCACACAGACACCAAGTGTCAGAGCTGGGATTCAAACCCAGGGAGTCTGGCTCCATAGTATACTCTCAACCATGACACCACATTGCTTTGGTTGTCTGCATTTTCATCTCACTGTATGTATTCAATGTATGTCACTGTGTTGTTCTTTATCTTTTTCCTTATTTATTCCTTATTTTTATCTTTTTAATATTTTTAGATTAATATTGTGTCTATTGTAATTGTGTCTTTTGTTTATTTTTTTTTATGTGGTGCTAGGGATCAAACCCAGTGCCCCATGCGTGCTAGGCAAGCGCTCTACCACTGAGCCACAACCCCAGCCCCATCCTTTTCCTTATCTAAACTGATTTAATCAGGTTACATCCACGCTTTCATCTTGCCTATTAATCGGGGAATGTTCCAGACATAGCCATTCCATGAGTAGTTACTTTCCATTCCCCATGTTCACACTACATGCACGTCTATTTTGGGCTCTGCTCTTGCATGGCTGTCCTGATATGGACACTCAGCACATCTGCATGGCTACTTCCTTCGCTCTTCAAACCCAGATGTCTTATTTGGAAAAAATTTACTTTGTTTCCCTCCTGCCCTTTCCCCTACTCCCAATAGGCTTTGCTAAAATATCTTGATACTTTGGATTGGGCTATCATTAGAATTTTGCTTGCAGAATCTCTCTAAAATTTTTATTTTTTAATGCTTTCTTTACATAGTCCTAGGCATTTATCAATATATATTTGCCTGAAATTATATGGATCTTTTTTAAGGATCATAGATCATCTTTGTGTTTTTCCTCTGCCCTACCTCAGGTTCTCTGYTCATGCGTACTATACTTGGTGTATTCGGTTGGAGTCCTTTCTCTGACATTTTCATCAGATCAGGCACCTGAGGAAAGACTCTTGATCCCAGCCATATGGATTACCATCCTTCCCCACCCTGAAGGTGGGTGATCTGCGGATGGGTTACAGAACTCTTGGGCCTTTCTGCTGGGTGACCTTTGAGGGTGCCAGAGTGTCCAGTGTTTCTTTCTCTGTAAGTATCTTGGCTCCTGGTACCTAGAAGTAGGTACTTCATCATTGGAGTTCAGAAATTTTACCAGAATGTACCTGATTCCTGATTGTGGGACTTTTTTTTTCTTTTTTTTCTTTTTTCTTAAATTCAATTCTACTTGGACCTCAGTGAACATTTCAATCTACAGTCTCTGATTTTTCTTTAACTTGGGTAAAATTTCTTCTCCTATGGAACTAATACTTCTTCTCCATCTGTTTATTTTCTCCTTTTGGAACCCTTGTCATTCACATTCTGGATGTCCTACATCTGTCCACCAACGCCTCTCTTTCTCTCCTGGTTCCTCCCTCTTTACATTTGGCTCTGATGTCTCATGGAATTCTTCTACTTTGTCTTGTTTGACAACTAATTGCTTCCAATTCATCTGCTCATTTTAAAAAATTTGAGTTTAAGGAACAAATTTTATGTTGCACTAGGGTCTCCTAAATGGGTGAATTGTTTTTTATTCATAGTCCATCTGCTTCCAATGTTTTAGGGGCTGTTCTTACTCTTCCTTCCTCTGGCTGCTGGGCCCCTTGAGTGTGATATGACCTTCCTTTCCCTGCTCATTGGAGTGCTTTAAGTAGGTGCTCCTGAGTGTAGGAGGAGCTTTGGGCTGGAAGTGCAGCCTGGAAAGGCATAGGGCAAGGCTCCAAGTAAGGCATAGGAGGAAGGCTCTCTGCATCCTGCCCCAGTCAGGAGGCATTGGGGACACAGCCTACCTCCACAGGCCTTCCAGGTCTCCAAGGGCAGGAGACTGGCTTAAGTACATAGAGTGAGGCCATTAGATGGACCCTCTCCTCCACGGACTCCTGGCTATGGGTTCTAGATCCTGGATCCATGGCTCTCCCAAGCTAGGTCTCTGCAAGGGTCCCCAGGGTCTCCAGCCTGTTTAGCACAGGCATTTTTAGGAAGGTGGCACTAGGATGGAGAAGTARGCACTAACCCACCACCTCCCCTCACCCTTCTGTACCAACATAAGGATTTCCTAAGGATATAGTCCTGGGTATCTACATGCTGCTGTTTATTTCTAGAAATTTGATGATTTCTGATATACTGACAAATTTGTGGTCCTGCTGCAAATGAATAGGGAAACTCAATTCAAGACAATGCAATTACGCTTACAGAAATCATTTTTGTGCACCTTTTCTCAACTCTTTTATCTTTTCTCTCTCTTTGTCATAATGTACACACAGAAAAGTGTATTTAATGTATGTACATTTTTAGATTTTCAAACTTCCTAGCAAAAAGCAGAAATTAGGAATGAGAGTGTTCTGTTTTCCTTAYTGGAAATCTGATAGGGTCATTTTGGAAGGAGTGACAATGAGGATAAAGAAATGTTTCACTGAAARGAATCTGTAATTGTCAGATCCATCTGTTATTTCTGTAGTTTCCAACTTTTTTTCTGAATGAATTTGCTCTATGAAGAAGAATGCAAACTAGTTACAATCACCTGTGAATGACAAAACATTAGTCATCTGAACATATTCCTGCAAGAACACTTCAGATCTGACTAATCAGGTCCTGGCACTCTCCCACTGAATGGAAGGCTGGTGAGCATTCTCTCTTTCTTAATGGGAAGTAACACCTATTAGTTACAGTTAATAGAAACTAATACTTACGCTTTCTGTGTGGAATGTTTCAAACCTTTATTATAAAGCATAAGACTAGTTGTTCTCAAAGGTCTTTGGGGTGTATAAGTATCATTCAGGTGGCTTATTCCACATGCAAAGTCCCAGGCTCCATCCCCCAGAAAACCAAAGTTAAGGAATGGACCCAGGAGTGTGGCTGTTCAGCATCATGAACTGCTCCTGGAGATAGTAACATCGCATTAGACATCATAGAAACAGCAAAGGCTATAGCCGGTCKTACTTCATTTGGGTTGATTTTCAATCAGTAAGCAAAGAAAATGGAAAGTGATTTCATAAAAGAGAWGCTAAAAATAATTAAACAACATATTTTTTTAAAGATTCAACCTTTCTAGTAAGCAAAGAGTCAGGAAATAAGATCACACCATTATCATGTACCACTCTGGGGCAGGATGTAGATGGTGGAGGCGGCTGTGCATGTGTGGGAGTAGGGGCTAGATGGGAACTCTCTGTACTTTCCGCTCAGTTCTTGCAAACCTAAAACTGCTCAAAAAAGATCAAGTCTACTTTTTATTTTTATTTATTTTTTTGTTTTATATACTTATTTTAAATAAGTAAATAAGTGAGTTGGGAAACAAACCCAGGGCTTTGTGCATACARAGTATGTGCTGTTACTCAGCTACATCCCCAGCCCAAAGTGTATTTTTTTAAAAAATCAAAATATCATATCGTCTTTATTSGTTGAAGAAGCATATATTTTTAGGTCAGGCAGTGGCGCATGTCTGTAATCCCAGGGATTTGGAGAGGCTGAGGCCGGAAAATCACAAGTTCCAGGCCAACCTGGGGAACTTAGTGAGGCCCTGTCTCAAATAAAAAACAAAAGGGGCTGATGACATAGATTAGTGGTAGAACATACTGGGTTCAATTTCCAGGAGAGAGAGAGAGAGAGAGAGAGAGAGAGAGAGAGAGAGAGAGAGAGAAGCAG